AATTGGTGAATGGCAATCCTCTTTAAAACTGATACCGCCTTCGATTAAATAAAATTAAATTGATCAATAAAATAGATACAATTTGTAAAGAAGAAAAGGGAGGGCATTCAACTTATATTTAAATATGAGTATAGAACATGATTTGATCTTAATCATTTGTAGTATTTTTTTATTTCCCATAACAAAAGTCCTAAGTACAATGTAACATACCCTAAATTTAGTAAGTAGTAAAAGGTGGTATTGAATAAGTACAAGATACGAAATTTGATATTTAAAAAGTTCTTATCTCTGTGCTACGATTCCAAAAAATAAAATCATATAATGAACATTATTTTTTTCATGTATAAAGGACATTGTCGGTGAGTTTAGTTCCAAGCAAATGAATGCCCCTAACCATGAAAAGGGGCAAACAAATAGGACTTTATGATGTACGAATAAAGTAATATAGTGGGGACAATGAGACAAAATTAATATCTATAAGTATATATAGTTATTATTTTATACATCGTTATGGGAATATGGGATAAATATTGGACCCGAATCTACCGTATTATGATTATCAAAAACTTTGGTGAAAGGGTATATGAAACCGATGTACTTTAAAAAAATCAATGTAATCTTTGTATTTTTTTAATGTGACACTTTAACTAAAAAAAATATAATGTGGTTCTTTGATCAACATTTTTCGTTATTGACCAACAATTTCGTTAATTCATGCTGACGTGAATGCTTTCTCAAATCTGTTACAAAGGAAATACTGCTTGTAGATGTTGGTAGAGACAAAAATAATCAGTTTCCGATTGTATGAGCAGTTGTTGAAGGGGAAGGAAAAAAAATTATGAAGATGGTTTTTGCATAAACTTATGGCTAACTTAGAGCATTCTAATGGCGAATGACTTATTACACTAATATTAGTCAATAATAAGAAATGTTGGTCATAAAGTTACATTAAATTATATTTTTAGATTAAAAGATCACATTAAAAGAAAAATAATACGTGAGTTATATTATATTTTTTAAATACAAAGAATTCGCCAACCTTTTGTCAATTTTTTTTTAGAAAAATAACAATTAGATCAAATCAGATTTTTTTTGAATTGATGTCGACCGAAACCAAATGCCTTGAAAAAACATATGGTCCCCTACTATGATGCCCTACTTCTAAGGGAACCCGCACCATTCTCGTTGCTCATCATCAAAGTACTATAGATTCATTTTGGGGGAAAATGCATGAGAATTAACATTGAAGCAATTATAATTACCATACCAAATGTGTGTGTTTTTCATAAGAAAATAACAAAAACTGTTTTTTCTTTTAAAAATGATAATTTGATCACATCATGAATAGATTAAATGTTGGGTTGTTATCGATACAAGTTTCGAGTTCAAACGACTGCATAATATTTAAGCGTTCATTGTTGAATGGTTGAGAGTCTCTAGAGCATATACTACCACTTGCAAACACCCTATATTAATATGAATATATATCACATAATACCGAAATTAGTCCCTAACATTTACCAAAATGGTCATTTTGACTCATATTTTATTTTTTGCCCCCTAACGTGTCATTTTAGGGGGAAAATGCCCATAATATTTGACAAAAATAATCATTTTGTCCCTCATTATTTTTTTAAGCATTTTAGCCCTCAAACGTTTCATTTTTAGGTTAAAAAGACTCATATTTTTTAGCGTTAATAGTATATTAACTAATGATTTTCATCTATAAATGAAGCTTTTTGTCTCAAAGCGAAACGTTGGGGGAGGGGGCAAAATGTTCCAAAAATAGAATATGAGCCAAAATAATCATTTTGGTAAACGTTGGTGGTTACTTTAGGTATTATGCCTATATATATAGGTTTAGTATCCAATTACATAGTGTAAAACTAAAAAGTTTTTACACCTTTTTAGAATTGTTGGATGAGAAAAAAAATCAAATGTTGAGATTAACAGTATAAAATAAAAAGATATTCGTAGGAAATAAAACAATGAGTTAATGTCAACTTTTGTTTTACACTAAATTTAAGTGGATTATATATGTATATATATATATTATTTTGTACTTCTCAGTTAAGAGTCAATATGAATATATAGTTTAAAAATATATATATATATATATATATATATATATATAAAAGAAATCAATTAATTTAAATATTATTTATGTATGTTGTATTTATCTATGTCATTTACATTCTAAATCACTTAAATTAACATCAGTTTCTATGCTAGTCACGAATTTTAATTAGTGTAATTACGTCCTTTGTCCCTGGAATCTTTGAACCTTCAAAATTTAATCTCCTACTTTCGATTCCAACATCTTTTATTTAACAATATATGTGATAATAAAAAGGATAAAAAAATATTTATAATTATATAAGTTATCAATTACAAAAACATTTTTCAATAATTTCTCAACCTAGTTAGAAATCAATTAATCGATAACACAATTCGATAATGAATGCTCAATCACTTGCTGCAGTCGTTGGTAGTCGAACCCGTGACCTCTAAGAATAACAAATAATTCTTTTAACCATTGAGGTAAGTTGGTTCATGCAATTCAATTAGAATTTTAAATAATAGCATAGATAGTGTCTCAAGGTTTTTGATATGTAAACTTATAAAAATATTATATTAGAAAATTATTGAATTTAAGAAATGAGGGACATGTCATGTGTCAATGCTTTCAATATGTGATCTTTATTTCATTTTATTTTATTTTGGTCTAATTTTTCTCTTAACCCACATACTCTTTGTATATTTGAACTTTTATCTCTCAACCTTTTATTTTATGAATTTAACCCTATGCTCTTTTGATTTGAAATCGAAGTCTAATTAATAATATTGTCAAATATCAACCTTTAGAATGGATTATATGGCTTTTTTTAGAATACCCAAATGGGCAATTTAAAGCCATGAGCAAATTTATTTACTTTTCAAATGCCAGATAACCCTATTTAATGGAAGTCATTTGATAGTATTATCAATTGGAATCCAAATTTTAAATTAAAAGAGTAGAAAGATTGAATCTCAAAAATGTAAAGAGTATAAGGACCAAATATATAATTAGTATTTCTATTTTTTTTTTTATAAAAAGGTATATTTAAGGATGGCAACTCAACCCGAATCCGACGGGTTCCGACCCGACCCGACCCGATCGGGTCGGATTTTTTAAAAAAATTTCGGGTTCGGGTTCGGGTCGGGTCGGGTTTAGGGTGAAAAAAATCCGACCCGACCCGACCCGAAAAATATATATACTTTTATCCTATATATTTAGGGATAATTACAATAATGTCCCTCCATATATAATTTTTTTCAATTAAGTCACTGTTTTTATTGAATACATTTTTTATTATTATTATTTCGGGTCGGGTCGGGTCGGGTTTCTAAGTCATATATTCGGGTCGGGTCGGATCGGGTGAAACTTTAATTTCATCGGGTCGGGTCGGGTCACGGGTGAAAAACCCTTTCTTCTCGGGTCGGGTCGGGTGGCCCAAAAACCCGACCCGACCCGACCCATTGCCATCCCTAGGTATATTAATTAAGACAACAATTCAATAATCTCATAATTTCAAAGTGGTCCAGCTCATCTCTCCTAACTTATGCTTTTAACATCTTCCATTATTATTATTGTTAATAACAGTAATCACACTTTTTTACGTAAATATTAAGTACGGAAAATTAGATACGAGTCCATATCGATTCAATTAAAATTTAAGTAAATTTTTATTTATTTTGGTTTATTTTAGATTTTGAATCAAGTTTAAGTAATTATATTTTTGTTTATATATATTTTAAATCAAATAAATCAATTCAAATAATCAAATTTGAATCTAATTTATCAGATCTACATATATTAACTTATATGGTCCTGCATGGTCCATTTCATCCGTAAACAACAAACAACAACAACAACAAAACCCTATTCTCATATGCAATGGGGTAACGTGGAGGTAGGGTAATAGGCTGCCCCCAACGCCAGGTTGAAAGCAGCTTTCGTAGAAGACCTCCGACAGTCAGAGAAATAAAAATAAATATAAAATACAATGCATGTATAAATAAATAAATAAATACATACTTGAACAGTCTTCATATGCAGTATTAAACAACAAACTTAACCTAATTCATTTAAAATTTCAATTAATTAATGGTTAAAATATGCTTTAAGTCATTATACTTTTAATGTATTCGAAATTTAGTTAAAGAGGAAGACTAAAAGTTGAAGTGACTAAAATTTTAAATATTAATGTGGATGACTAAATTCTAAATATATAAAGAGTATAGGCACTTAAAATATGTTTAGCCCTAACTAATTAATATGTAATACTAAAATTTAGGTTAAAGTATATAAATAGTCCCCCAACTATAAGATATTATTTTATTAAGTCTCTCGACTATCAAAAGTTACAAAATAGTCCTCTGACTAAGGAGTGTTGTTTTATTGAGTCCATCTACTATTAAAAGTTACAAAATAGTAAACTGACTATTCATTATGTTCCAAACTCCTCATTTTTCGTTTAAAAATTGACTATATTCTGAGTTAAACGTTAATATGTTAACTCTTATATAATAAAATCTAATATCAGAATCTCAAACAACTATCATATTTCAGTTATCATGTTAACGTCTGACTTAGATAATCATCATTTTTTAACGGAAAAGGAAGAGTTTAGAACATAATGAATTGTTGAGTGACCATTTTTAACTTTTAATAATCGATGGACTCAACAAAACAACACCCTATAGTTAAAGGATTATTTTGTAACTTTTAATAATCAAATGAATTTAGAAAGTAATACTCTATAGTCAGGGGACGATTTGTGTACTTTACTCTAAAATTTATGCAAACAAATTGAAGAAATATTTAGGGAAAAAAAGCTGAAATGTAAAATGAAAGTAAAGACTGGAGTATATAAAACCAGTTAAAAGCAAAGCAAAGGCCTTTGCAAAGCGAAAGCTTCCATTCTCCAACTTTTGAAAATAAAAGGCCTGAAAATCGGTGATCAATGGGCGTCAATTTATTTTCAATCTTCTCTTCTCTCTCCTTTCTCTTCATCTCTAGGGTTTTGCTTCACAATTCTCTGCAATTTCAAACCTGACAGCTCATCTTCTCTTCTGCCCAATCCTTCTGGGTTCAGTTTTACAGTGATTTAATGGTGTGTTCGGTTCGATTTCTGTAATTGTTTTTGGTTTCTCTTAATTGGGTTTTCTTGTTCTTTTCAAGATATATGTTCGAGTGTGAGTTCTGAGTGGGTTGAGATTCGGAATTTGGTTGGGGAGAAACACTCGACAATTCAAAGTTGATTCAGTGTTTTTGGCTTTTAGATTGTTTATTATTGTTATTTGATTCTCAGTTCTTAGATTATCTTTAGCGTCGTATTTTGATTGTTCTGTTCAGTTGGTGAAGGGAAGGAAAGAAAACAAGAAGCTCCATTTTTCCCCGTGTATTTAACTCTAATTCTCCGAGAATATCTTATTTGAATTGCTATGAATTATATTGATGCCCAATTTTTTTCTTCCGTAGATTTAATTCTTCCTCAGAGAGCATCTGATTTGAATCGTATGAATTGTATTGATCAACTTGACTGGCTTTAACTTTTTTTCTAATATTCTTTTTTGTTTATCTTGGTAACTAGGTGAGGATCACATCATCATTTCACTCTGTTTTATGAATTGATGATAAAGTGTTGCCCTATCGTAATAAGTTTTTTCTCAGTGTCGATCGATAATGCTTTTCGACTTGTTTTTCCTTGCCTAGGTCTTAGTTGGGACTTTGGGTTTAGAATTCAGGTTTGTTTTGTTGTTTAGGGGCTGGAAAATGTTGGGAAAAATCATGTTGGTAGGTAAGAAATGTGCAAAAGAGTTTGAAATAATGCATAACTAGCTGCCTGCTTCTAGCATGTACAACTAACTAAGCTTAACATAGTATTTATTTGTTTGGTGAGACATTAAAGATCATGGGGTTTCTGATAATTAGAATGCTTCTTTTTGCAATTATCCGATCTTTGGTTGTTTGTGTGTCGTATCCTTAGACAACTGATATAAACCTAAATTTTTTAATGATGTTGCTTTCCCATTTTTCTAAGCTAACCTACTTGTATTTTGCTTCTTTTCTTTGCAGAATTTGTTTGTTGGATGTTTTGATAAATAGTGATGAGCTAAAATGTACATCTAGGATTGCGGCATTTGTAAGGGTCGTATTTTTAAACCAATGGAAACTGCAAGGTGTTGGCTCAACAAGTTGAAATCTAAAGATAAGTCACGGCCTTCGAAGAAGAAAGAAGGTGAAGGTAAAGCAAAGGAGGGGTCTAAACCGCCAACAAGTGAAGAGGCGCCATCAAATGTCACTAAACAGCGCGTTGCTGCTGCGAAGCAGTATATCGAGGACCATTACAAGAAGCAGATGAAAAGCCTCCAGGAAAGAAAGGAGAGGTATGATTTAAATTCTAGCTTAGTTCCTCTCTTGGAAACTAATTTTCCCATGTATAATTTTATAAGTAATTTTGTAACATGCTCTATGCTGCAGACTGACAGTTCGGTAGAATTATCTCATAGAGATATTTAATAGCATGTTTGACGTTGTGTATCATCAGCAAAATATATAGCATGATATGATAAGTTTCGTGATCAGGAAAACGGGGAAAATTACGGTAGTTCCTTTTGAAGATCAGGATACCATTTTGAGGTAATTGTATTTTTTCTGCAGGCGTGATATTCTAGAAAAGAATTTGGCTGATGCTGAAGTCTCTGAGGAAGAACAAAACAACTTACTGAAGTATTTAGAGAAGAAGGAAACAGAATACATGCGTCTTCAGAGGCATAAGATGGGTGCCGATGATTTTGAGCCATTGACCATGATAGGCAAGGGTGCATTTGGTGAGGTAATTATCTCTTTGTTGTTTTGTACTTCATCACATAGGTTCTTCTCTTTCTTCTAGTTGTGCTCTTGCCTCGATATACTTGCCAAAATTGAGAAAATTTTGATATGTTATGTCTACCACTAGATTTTTGGTTTCCTTTTAACTTCGCTTCTTCTAATCACAGGTTAGAATCTGTAAGGAGAAGGCAACTGGTCATGTTTATGCCATGAAGAAGCTTAAGAAGTCCGAAATGCTTCGTAGAGGCCAGGTACTCCATTTCAAGCCTGCTATAAGATTGCCATAATGTGTTCCGAGCCACGATGCTAATTCGTTAGTTTGCATTTATAATTGTAAGGTTGAACATGTGAGAGCCGAGAGGAATCTACTTGCAGAGGTTGACAGTAATTGCATTGTCAAATTATATTGCTCCTTCCAAGACGAAGAGTATCTATATCTAATTATGGAATATTTACCTGGGGGAGACATGATGACTTTACTGATGCGGAAGGATATACTAACCGAAGATGAGGCCAGGTTTTACGTTGGAGAAACTGTCCTGGCGATTGAATCGATTCACAAACATAATTATATTCATAGGTGAGTTGATTTGACATTAAACCTACATAAACTTTTCCATGTAATGGTCTTCCTGAATTTTCACCGAGTAAAACTCATTCTATATCACATGTTGCAGAGACATCAAGCCTGACAACCTGCTCCTTGATAAAGACGGTCATATGAAATTATCGGATTTTGGATTATGTAAACCATTAGATTGCAGTAACCTTCAGGAAAAGGACTTTTCCGTGGCAAATGTCAGTGGAGCTCTTCAAAGTGATGGTCGACCTGCCCCACCAAAACGCACACAACAGGAGCAACTGCAGCATTGGCAGAGGAACAGAAGGATGCTTGTAATTACTCGACTACCATGTGGTTATTAGTTAATGAAACATTATTTGTCGTTATTAGTGGCTGTACTATTGAGTTTAGAAAGCTAGAAATTATAGACATGTTTCTCCATATTTTCCATTGTTTCAGGCTCTATTCATAGAATTCGCAAGGCTTGTGTAGTTTTCAGCTTTTAGTTTTCTTAGATATTCTATAGAAAGACCACACGCTCACCTCTTTTTTCCTGCTAAGTTCATTTAGAGGGCTTTCATTTTTCTTTTTGTTGAAATTGCAAAATAATGTTGCTTAAACATTTAAATTTTGTTATCCGCAGGCATATTCTACGGTTGGCACACCCGACTATATTGCTCCAGAGGTTTTGCTGAAAAAAGGATACGGAATGGAATGCGATTGGTTCGAATATTAAACACTTTTTTTTTTTTTGAGAATATATGTACATGTGAGGTCTTCTTTTAGGATAATATATTTTTAGATATCTTATAATGGTTTTCTTACACTTTTCCAGGTGGTCTCTTGGTGCTATCATGTATGAAATGCTTGTTGGATATCCACCCTTTTATTCTGATGAGCCAATGTCGACCTGTCGGAAGGTAAGTTATTACAGTTACTTTTCGCCTGTCTTTACTTATGAACATTGTGTGATAAGCTTCTTATTGCAACTCTAATATTAGTTAACACTTCTTATTGTCATTTGTTTTAAATTTTCTAGATAGTAAATTGGAGAACTCACTTAAAATTTCCCGAAGAAGCAAAACTATCCCCGGAAGCTAAAGATCTTATCAGTAAACTCTTATGTAATGTCGAGCAAAGGCTAGGAACGAAGGGTGCCAATGAAATTAAGGTGTGTGGTGTGTTCTATTTAAGATTCTTCGATTTTGCCTTAAAATAGAATGCTAATAACTAAATTAACTAGTTGTATCTGTTTTTTCTTACAGGCACACCCATGGTTCAAAGGTGTTGAATGGGACAAATTATATCAAATGAAAGCTGCATTTATTCCTGAAGTCAACGATGAGTTGGACACGCAAAATTTCGAGAAGTTTGAAGAGGTAGATTAGTGTTGCTGCGTTTAAATATGCGATAACCTGTTTAGACATATTCTTATTATTCTTTTTTCTTTTCATGCACCAGGCTGACAACCATATTCCATCTGCAGCAAAATCGGGTCCATGGAGAAAGGTTAGTGTAGATAGAATTGCTTCTTTTGCGTAAATAACAAGGCCCGTTTCATGTGAAATTTATCATGGGAACATGCCATTTACTGGTCTGTTTGCTTTGATTTATATGTTATATTTCATCATGTTTTAGACATTATCGAACTCAACCAAATTAAACATGGTTAATAAAGTGTAATTGCTGTTAAATGATGTTTTGATCGCTCACATGCTGAACCAGTCTATTTTTTTTTTGATTTATATGCTATGTTTCATCATGTTTCGGACATTGTCGAACTCAACCGAACTAAACACGGTTAACTTTCACCCTTTGATGCAGATGCTTTCATCCAAGGATATAAACTTTGTGGGTTACACATACAAGAATTTTGAAATTGTAAATGACAATCAGTTACCAGGCATCGGTATTTTACTTCCTCTGTTGCGTTTGTCCCTTCAATATATCTCGGCTCTCTTCCGGTTGTTCTGCAAACAAATTTATCCTACGGACAAAAATCTTTGTTTTCCGACATTTTTATTTATTCCGTTGCAGCCGAGCTAAAGAAGAAGAGCTCGAAACCCAAGAGACCCTCCATCAAATCCCTTTTCAGTAAGACATTATTACTATTACTATACTTTTTTCACGGCTGAGCTCCGATTTGTGGGTTACGGAATCTATGAAGCTCTTAAAGTTGAGATTTTTGCATGATATAGTAGTTTGACTAAGGCATACATTGGTCTATATATGTTGCAGAGGATGAGTCTGCTGCGGCTGCAAGTCAACCTGTTCAAGGGAGCTTCGTAAACATCTTGCCACCTCAACATGAAGCCCCCAAAGAACATTATAGAAAATGACCCGACACGATTACGTGGTGCCGTTGGATTACCGATAAAGCTAATATTTACTTGGTGAGTAGCTTTTGTTTCTACCACATCTTACATTTCAAGTTCTCATTGGAAAGTTTTTAAGAGTAAACATAGTGAGCTGACATTATGAGGTCTGTTCTTGAATCAGCTAGGTGATTGTTCTTTTGTAAAATACTACCGCTAATAATAGATGTATATATATATATATATATATATATATATATATGAAAGTAAATATTCGTTCAATATAAATTACGGTAGTTTTATTCGAGAAAAAACCGGTTTTGTTAATGCATTAGAGGTAAAAACCGGGTTTTATAAAATTTCTACTATTTGATTGAGTTTTATCGATAAAGTATGTACCGTTTCATTAACACAATGTCGTAATCATTGAAATGAGACATGCGAGGCAACATTGACCTTTTGATTGGTTGCATAAAGAAACATCAAGGTTTATTACACACAGCTAGAATGTTGGAAACGTGTGAATAATTCCCCTAAAATGGGATCATTCATCTCTTTCTTATACCGAGTCTAGAGGCATCATACAGCAAGCAAGAATGCCTGACAATGGTTTGCGACATATACAGAGTAACGCTTCGTATATGTCTGACACTGAATACCTGACAATCATAAGTAGTTTCTTTTCTGGGGATCGTGTTCTTTGTGAAGATTGTTGTGGATGGAACCCGGTAACAGACGCATATACGGACTAACGGTTCGTGAATACCATTATAGTGCCATTATCTCCATCAGAAGAAACTAGAATGGGACAATTTCTTGTTACCAGTTGAATCCGTCGTTTATTTTCTTTTTCCGCTTCCGATTGTCAAGAGATCGAAGCTCCGGAGGGTATCATCACGGCCACCTCTAGTGGCAGCAGCAGGAGTGAAAGATGATGCTTTGGGCTCAAAGCCGGGCTGAACTCTCCGAGTCATTGACAAGCGACCACTGGTCGAGAATAATCTGCTAGGACGACTCTCACTAGGCTCACCAGAGGAGCCAGGTTTGCTGCTCGATACGACTGGCCTCTTTGAAGCGAATCAGTTCTCGAGGATCGCATCCTATCAGAATCAGGTTGCTGGAGGAGAGAGAAGTTCAAAAAGAAGATCCATTAATCTTCAATTTCCAAGAAAGAGAGCAAAATTCAATGGAAAACAATAAACAAAATGTTGAAGCAAAGGTTGTTCACCGCTTCCTTCGATAATGTCAAGTCCTCTGAAGATCTCTGTCTCGACTGATCACCATGCAAACCATGGCCAGAGCCGTTTCGTCTTGCGAATGCCTCAACCGCGCCAGACAACCTTTCTAGAATCTCGTGTCCAACTGAAGTAAGTAAAGACATGCATAAAAAATGTAACTTCACTAATTCAAGGAAACCCAAGTTGGAACATGGACAAGTCAGGCATCTTGAATATGTTTTCAGGTAAGAGTAGTCCGGTTTGTCTTCAAACCGTAGTGATCGACAATAATGGAAGTACGATGTGAACTCAGATGAATATGATTTGCAAAGGACCTGAAGATGGCATTTAAAAAGGTTTGTGTAGTAAGCAACTAGTAACGAGTTCAACCAACCTTCCCCGGAGGAAGTACATAAGCACGTAACCAAGAGATTCTAGATCATCTCTCCGGCTTTGCTCTGCAATTTCCACGGTGCATAGTCGGATCAAATATTAAGCCAAAAAAATCAATGGCAAGGGGTGTTCGCAGAAAGTAGAACACAAATGAATATTCGATGCAGTAATTTCACTCACCAACTCCAAGGTGAGTGTTAACACTTGCATATCGAGCTGTCCCTGTAAGATTTTTATTTTCCCTACAAGAAAAAAATGGACAACTCAAAAAGAAGATAAAGCAGTACAAGATGAGATCACTGGTACATATAACATGATATCGATAGAGAGCTATCCTTAATGGAAGAACTGACAATTAATGACTAAGAGTAAAAGCAGAAAATCCTGGTGTATATGAACTTGTACAGCACTAATATGTCAAACCGAATTTCAGTTAACGTAAAAAGACATACTGCTGGGGATATTATATTTCAAATGAACTAAAATTTGCATGAAAACCTTATCGACATTATCTAACTAACCAAAAACACATGCGCTGCAGGGATTAAACAGAGCAACATGTCCCGGTGAATAAAACCACGAGAGTGCATACACTCAACTCTATTTATCTGAAGCAGCAAGAAAGAGAAATTATTAGTGAGGCAGCGACCTGACTAGATTAAAGCTTCTGGAAAAGGCGGTCTACTCACTAACTGGTCTGCAAGCATCAAAACTGCAATAGTTGAACAAGTCTTCTAAGCTTGGTCCGAGAAGATCAATAGCCATGACATCGTATTCACCCTCAACTCCAAACCATTTTAAATGTGGAATAGCAGCTGCACACGTAAAAGAAAGTAAGAAAACTACTCGATAATTACTACTGACCGTAATAAAAGGCAAGTACCAATTTAAAAATCCTAAATACATATTTAAACTAAAAAAAACTAAGTTCGGGTACCAATTTAAATAAAAAAAAAAGCCAAGTTTACGCACCTGATTGAAAAAATCATTTAAGTACCAAATTAAACCTTAAAACCATATTTATATATTTAATTAAAACAAGTACTAAAGTAAACCTCAAAACAAAGTTCAAGTACCAAACCATATATTTACCCTTCTATTTCATAATAGCAGGAAGTAGGTGGTAGAGACAAATAAATACAAGTGTCAAATTATTTTAAATAACATTGAAAATAGAATTAATTGAAATTACAATAACATTATAAATAGAATGCATTAAATTAAAAATAATATCTTCACACTTAAATTAATTCGTCAATAAATTAAATATAATAATTATAAAAAATTAATTTAATTAATTTAAGGCCATTAAAAGACAATGATGCAATTTGACTTTTATTCCTCCTTTGGCCTTTAATTTCAAACCAATAATGCTCTACTTTCTATGGATGTAATTATCACTTTTGGGAAAATATAATAATTGGTCCATTATAAAAAAATAATGAAAAAGAGAGACGAGATTCCTTTCCTTTTTCATTATAACACCTTAAATTATTACCCAATATGGCCCCTCGTCTTTTAATTTATATGTATTTCTATATTTCACTCATAAAATAATATATTGTCTTTAAGATATAGTTATAAAATATATTTTCTTAATTTTGTTTTTAACATTAAAGTTTTTTTCTCAATATGTAAAAAAAAATCAACTCTACTTTTTTATATTTTTGTTTAAATAGTGGTCAAAGTCTCATCAATATAGATAAAGTATAGGGGTAGATTATGTAAATATTTTTTATTTCTAAAAAATAATTGTTAAAAATATTTAAAAAGATAATACTTTGATACATAAAATAAAGATATACTATCCAAATTGTATTTTTTAAAAGAAATATTTAATATAATGTATCTTGTTGATGTGATAAAATGTTCGATAAGAGATTCTAATATTTGTAGTAGTGGTCATGAGAAAAATAAATAATAAGATTTTTTTTATAAAAAATATATTGATATTAGAGTAAACTATACATGTAGAACACAAACTAATAGTTTTTGTCCGTTTTAGTATCTAAACTTTAAATTTTTTTAAAATTATATGTACCGTTTAGTTTTTGTTTCATTTCAGTACCATACAATTAATAACTTAACATGTTTAGTACCTAAAATATCAGTTTTGGTCAATTTTAGTGCTTAAGCTTTCAATTTTTTAAAATTTAACGTTAAACTTTAAATGGGGTACTAGAATGAAATAAAAACTAAACTTTAAATATGATTTAAAAAATATAAAGTTTAGGTATTAAAATAAAAAAAATTGATAGTTTAGTTATTGAACGCGTAGTTTACCCTTAATATTATTATACACACGAACACAACAAGAACATAAAAGGATATTTTTGTAAATTCAAAAGCGAATCATATCATCAACCCATGTATTGTTTGTCCCTTAATGCTCCACCATTTTCAATATTCGCACTCAACTTTGTTTGATTTTCCCATTCTACCCCTGAACATTTCCATTTTTTTCTACCTCCAGCAAAGCATATCCCCCAATGAATCGCCTATGGCAATGCAGTCTTTGGATCTTCTCTTTCTCTGTCAAAAAACCCCATTGTTTCTCCCAGAACTTTCCTTTTCCTTTGGGCACTGCGAACCCTGTTTTGGTTTACTAGAGTGAGCTATCTTCACAGCCCAAATGTCAAACTCTGTTCCTTTTTTGGAATTTCCATGAAATATTTGCTTTTCATCTTCAAAGATCTGGTTTTTGAGTGGTAACAATGAAGTCTTCAGCTCGACTTGACTCAGTGGTGTTCCAGCTCACACCAACTCGAACCAGGTCAGGATTTCATCTGTTTTTGTTGCTAATCTTTAGCTTCAGAGTTCTTTGGAACTGAGTATTGTTTGTATGTAATCATTGTGGACATAAATCATTATGCTGTGCTTTGCACTTTCACCAGGTGTGATTTGGTGATAACTGCAAATGGGAAGACTGAGAAAATGGCTTCTGGTTTGTTTAATCCATTCCTTGCCCATTTGAAGACTGCACAAGAGCAGATGACCAAAGGGGGTTATTCAATCATCCTTCAACCAGACCCCACCATTGATGCATCTTGGTTCACAAAAGGGACTGTGGAAAGGTTCATATAATCTTTATTTGGTTCCTCATTCTTATTGGGATTATTGAATTTGATGAGTCTTTTCCCTTATTCTTGTGTGTGATGATCGAGTCTATAATGCTTATTGATCTTGTTGTCGAAAATGGCTGTCCGTTTAATCTTTTCCTCCCCCTTGAAATTTACATGGGATGGTGATTTCTCTATATGGCATTTGCAGGTTTGTTCGGTTCGTGAGCACTCCCGATATCTTGGAACGAGTGTATACCGTTGAATCCGAAATTTTGCAGATTGAAGAGGCTTTTGCAATTCAAAGCAATAGCACTATAGGATTTAGTGTTGTTAGTAGTGTTTTTCGGAGTTTTATTATAGGTATACCATAGAGATTAATTGTACATGTTCTTTTTTCTTTCCACAGGTAGAAGAACATCAAGTAAAGCCTCCGGAAAGCACAGGCACAGAAGGTACTGTTAGTAACTTATTTGCCTATGGTCTTTCATATAACTGGACTGGTGCCGTTCTTACTATAAATTAGGGATGAATTTATGGACCAAAAAGTCATACTATTTCATATTTCCTGGTGAACCTGTGTCATATTTGTTCAAGCCTTCCAGCATTAGTTCCGATCTTTTTTTTCCATTTTTTTCATTTTTCTTTGTTCTTGTGTTGTACCTGACGGCTTTTGACAGGAATAAGGGGTACTCCAGATTCCAATGACGAGAAAGCCATCGTCCTTTACTCGGTTAGTATATGCTAAATAATCCTTGGCATTATTTGATCTTGCAATAAATTTGATTAAATCTTGTTTTCTTCCTTGCAGCCTAGTGCACTGCATCCTGAAGCAAACTCATCTTCTGTGGAGGGAAATTCTAAGTATGTCATAGTGTGACTGAATGGACGATATGTAATTGAGGATATCGAATTGAATATTATCAACGGTTTTGAGGAACAATGAAGAACATAATGTTGATTTATCATCTCTGTATATATGTTTAACTTGTTTGAATAATCTTAAGGCCATACATAACACAGTGTTTCGACTTTTCACTAGAGCTCAACTTTTGAAAGTCCTGGAGACAAGGAAAACAGTGCTGCAGAAAGAGCAAAGTATGGCCTTTGCACGTGCTGTAGCTGCCGGTTTTCACATCGATCACGTGGCGCCTTTGATTTCATTTGGTGAAACTTTTGGAGCCTCTCGTTTTAAGTATGTGGAATTTTTGAATAGTCAACTTAGTTCTATGCAACCATATAATTTTATCGGTGATTACATGTCATATATTAATCAAGTGTTTTCTCATAGTTCAAAATTAGCCGAGTTTAAGACGACAGTTTTCCATTTATAATACACACTGGAAGAGAAATTTGTGCACCTGTGAACGGTCACTTGATTATGTTCTTTTTTCATTGCAGGGATGCTTGTATAAAATTTAATGAATTATGGAAAAGAAAGCATGAAACTGGCCAGTGGCTCGAGATTGAAGCTGCTGAAGCAATGTCTAGTCGATCTGATTTCCCTGCTATGAATGGAACCGGCATCGTGTTTTCCGAGAACAACGGAAAATCTGGTGTTGAGTCAAGTACGGGTATGTGTTTTTGAGCTAAGTAGCTTAGTTTATAATTTCGTGTGGTAACTTAAACGGTGGTAAGTTTTCCCTGTCCAATTTTCCTCCCACAAAATTTGCTTGGTTTCGATCCCGGGAATCTCGATTTATGGCATTCATCCATTTTCTTTTAACACCTCATTTGTATGCTTGACAAATGTTTTATTCATGCTTGCTACTTTCACTTAAAGTATGAACTGAAATAAATAAAATTCTGATATGGCCAGACGAGAAACCTCCAATGGATCAACAAACCCCGGCTCGCCAAGAATATTATCAAGCCCAGTATCCGCACCCGATGTTTGCTCCCTGGCCTATCCCTTCTCCGCTGGGTGGTATGCCACCCTTTCAAGGATATCCCATGCAAGGGATGCCTTACTGCCCGAATTACCCCGGAGGTGGTTCCTTCTTTCAGCAACCTTATCCATCAATGGAGGATCCAAGACACAATGTTGGTAAACGAATACAGAAACAGCATTCAATGGATAGCAGGGAAAGCCATAGTGGATCAGATACCTGGGAGATTGAGAGAGCAAAATCACAAGATAATGAGGAGTTGGAGAACAGAAGTTCGCCAAGTCCAAAATCGAGAAAGAAGAGTAGCAGGTCAAGTAAAAGGAAGTCGGGAACGGTGGTCATACGGAACATCAATTATATCACTTCAAAGAGGGAGAACTCTTCAGGTAGTGATTTGCAGTCGCATTCTTCCTCTGAAGAGGATGTGGAGGATGGAGATACTGAGCATAAGAACTCTCGGAGATCCTCGAAGGTGAATGGAAGTCGAACAAAGTCTGTTGATGCATATGATAGGGAAGAAGCAGCTAATGGGAAGGACACCGATGGTGGACACTGGCAAGCGTTTCAAACTTATTTACTTAAGGATGCCGAAGACGAAGAACGTAAAACTGACCGAGAAATGTTTTCAACGGAAAAGGAAGTTCAAGGAAAGAGAAGACCGAACCGAGTGCGTGGAAGTGAAGATCCTTTAGTTTTCAGGGGGCGAGAAATGGGTCAGTTCGAAGAAGGGAATGCAACTGACATGCATGAAATTAGTGCAAGTGGCTCTCGCATGCCTGGAGGATCGAATGATCAGTCTTCGACTATTGGAATAGGTGGTCATGCTGTTGATGATGGCAGAATTCTCATTGATGGTGAAATGGATGGCAGGAGGGTTTGTCGAAGGAGCATAAATGATGAATTCATCGTAGATAGACAACAGAATCTGTCAGATATTACAAATTCTCCATCAGATCCACAGACTTTTAACTGGTTTGAACATTCATCCAACGGTTCGGAAAGAAGATCATCGAATAATATAAATGATGATTCCTACATAGTTCCATTCAGGTCCACTTCAGTCACTCAAGTCGAAACCGATGACCGCTGTGCTATCCATATGGATTCTGATTTCTCATTGTCACTTCAGAAAGCAGAAAATATACCTAATGGGATTGGAAGCCAGGTCAATTATGAACTCGATGATTTGACTTTGATGCCTGAGCGTGGAGCCGAAATGGGGTCAATCGGGTATGATCCGGCCTTGGATTATGAAATGCAGGCTCATGTTGAAGATGGTACTTCACTGAGTAAGAAAAATAAAGAAGGAATGCAAGGGTCTAAAAAATCGGAAAAGGACGACCGAAAATCGAAACTTATTGCTGATCCTTCTGATAAAAAGAAAGCTGTAGGGCCAATAAGGAGAGGAAAACCTTCGAAACTGAGTCCTTTGGATGAAGCAAAAGTCCGGGCCGAGAAGCTAAGAACCTATAAAGCTGATCTTCAGAAGCTAAAGAAGGAGAAGGTATGCTGCTTTTGGATCATTCAATTCTTCGAATGCATATAGTTCAACCTCAGCTATCTTTACAACTAGTTCATGTTACTAGTAATTCATTTTCTTAACACATTTCAGGAAGAGGCTGAAATTAAACGACTTGAAGCATTGAAGATGGAGAGACAAAAGAGAATTGCTGCTAGAGTCGGTTCTGTTCCGGCTCAGTCTTCAGTACCCGCACAAAGCTCTAAACGTTTGCCATCGAAACTTTCTCCGAGCTCTCATAAGGCATCAAAGTTTACTGATCGTGAGCCTGGACTGTCGTCGCCACTACAAAGATCCATCAAGCCTGCTTCTGCGGGATCCGCTGGTTCTCACAAAGCTTCTAGACCGAGCAAACTGAACACCGGAACCCCGTCCCGTGAAAATAGGTTAAGCCAGTCAGTTTCATTATTACCTGAACCGAAGAAAGACAATGGCGGTGTAACTCATGATACAAAGGCGTCTATGGCAAGGTTTAGGAGATTATCGGAACCGAAAATAATTAGCAGCCCACTTGTTTCTTCAGTGAAGTCGCGGCACTCTGAGCCATCAAAGAGTACAAAAGTATCTGGTGTGCCTCAAAGAAAAAAAATATCAGCAATTGTGAACCATGATAAAAGTATGATTGCGTCTCTTCCCGAGCTCAAAATTAAAACAACTAAAGCCCCTGAAGTTACCAGCAGCAAATTGGGAGGAAATGAAATGACTCAGAAGGTGACTGTAAGTATTTCTTCCACCACTGGTGTTATCGAACCAAGTAGGAACAAGGAAGAAGTTTCACTTCATGCCAATGGGGATGACAGTACAGTGGTTGACAAAACTGTTGTGATGCTTGAATCCGTTCCTGCAGTAAACTCATCTGAAGGAAATACGGCAGTTAAGAAGGGAAATGATGGCGTCTTTAAAATCAGGAGGGAAACTGAGATGGTGTCAGATTATACTGCCGTTTGTGCACCAGTTTCTTCATTGAATCCTCAAGCGCTCGATAAAGAACAGATACAACAAAAACAAAGAGCTTATGAGGTAGACTCATTATTGAAAGTGATTGCAAGCTTGTAGTGGATTGGATCGGGTGACGATTTTTGTCTGTTTCAGTTGGTGTTTGTTTCTGAGTTAAGAAGCTAGAGGGGTGTTTTTAAGTCTTATGTAACTTGGCTATCATTAATAAATTGAGGTACTCTTTTCCTCCTTCTGCTAGTTGGGTCTTACCTTAGGGGTAAGGTCCACTAAGAGGGAGGTTTTTAATGAGACCTCCTATCCCTATAAAAAAAATAGCTTATGAGGTAGGATTTACGAGAAAGATTAGCCTTGAATTTTACAGTTCCGATTATCATTTCTTGTTCATGTGCCTCTAAATACGCTGTACATATTTGCAGGTTCAGAAGGCAAATACAAGTGACAGAGATAAGGAATTGTCGAAATTTACTAGTGCAAGTGTTACCAAAAAACAGTATCAAGCCCCTTTAGCTCGGGTTTCTTCTATGGAAGATCCATGTACCGAAATTTCTGAGTATGTCAGAGCACCTCCAGCTAGCATGCCTGCTGCAACAACAAACTCAGAGAATGTTAGAGCTCTTGTAGCTGACACTAATAACTTGAACCTAGAAAAGATTCCTGAGGTGTTGGATAGGCCTCAGGTAAAGGACTCATCGAAAGGATTCCGACGACTGTTGAAATTCGGAAAAAAGAATCATAGCTCAGCCAGAAGCGAACATAGTATTGACTTGAGCAGTGAGGCTGAAGAGTTGGTTCCAAATGCTGCCTCATCTAGTGAAGGTAATTGCTCTGTGTTCCATCCCTTGTGAACTTCGACCGATGCATTTAAAACTTTCGCTTGTATTTGGTTCCGAAGCTGACTAGTTTTCTGATTTTAACAGTTCATATGTTGAAGAATCTGATCTCCCAGGACGAGACCCCGACGGCCGGTAATACTCCACAAAAATGTAAGTATTCGCTGCTCATTGCCCTTTGATTTCTTTTCTACATCATTAAGGTGGAGAATCTGAATGACTTTAAATATATAATCATGCAGCTTCTCGCTCGTTTTCGTTGTTGTCACCATTCCGAAGCAAGATCAGTGAAAAGAAGTACATGGCTTGAGGATGAAGGTGAAGCCATGAACTTTGTTATTTCTTTTCCATGGATATGTTTGTAAGAAAAAGTTCTTTCTGCATCCACTTCCAGTGGTTAATGTTCTCGAACCAAATCGGTTTCGAGCCGACTTTTCCTCCCGATTTATATTTACTTTCTTATGTATTCATGAATTCTGCCATTATTTACTGTAAATGAGAATTCACATGGGTTCTGTACGTGTATTACGGTTGAAGAAGTCACATGGGGTTTAGCTTTTATAAGATGAGTAAACTACCCCAAATATCACCGAATTTTTTGTTATTTATCCTTTTTACCATTGAATTTTAAATTACTTCAATTTCAACGCTATTGATCGTTGGTATTGGATTCAATGTAACCAGGGTGTGATGATGTGGCAATGTATTTTCTATCAACTCTAATTTTTATATTGATTTTGTCATTAAATTTTAAAACCTTTTGATTTAAACATTGAACTTTAATTTAGGTATCAATTTGGTCCTTGTAAAAACTCGTCAATTCCTTTTATTATTGTTGTTGGTCACACCGATTCGTTAGCAAAATTAATATCAAAATATTTTTATCTTATTCTTCTTTTAGTGTAGACTAATCATTTAGTACCTAAATGATCAATTTTGATCCGTTTTAGTACTTAAACTTTTAATTTTTTTAAAATCATATCTAACATTTAGTTTTCATTTCATTTTAGTATCTCACTGTTAAAAACCTAACGTGTTTGGTACCTAAACTATCAATTTTGGTCTATTTTAGTACCTAAACTTTCAATTTTTTCAAAACTTAACGTTAAAATTTGAATAATGGTACTGAAAATGGCGTTGTTTGATGAGAACTAAGCTTTATATATGGAAAGGAAAATCTGGGTTTCGATCTTCAAAACGATTCATTTCGTTTTTCTTACGTTAAATTTATGAAGAAAGTCACCTTTGACCAAAAAAATAAATGAAAATGGCGTTGGCTTTTGCTTACCTTGAGCTTAAAGTGGATATATTTTAGTCCCATGTTTCAAAATTCATTTCATTCTATTTTCCCGAGAAAGTTTAAAAAAAAACTGAATTCTACTGATTGGCTATCTTAAATCAGTTAAATATTATCAGATTTATTTATATTTAGTTTTATTCGAGTCCGATAAATTAAAAAAATTCGAATCGAATTATTGTATGACTCAATTAAATTAAGGTTTGAATTTAGAGATTTTATTTACACTAGATTAGCATGAAACTTATTGGGTATTAAGAACATATTTGCTTAGTTAATTAATGGAAATAAAACAAGATTCTAATAAAAGAACGAGGGATTGGTATATGAAAATTGGACCGACATGACTCAAAGCTGCATGAAAAAGAACACATTGTCTATGTCATATATATAATAATCAACCTAAGTAAAATTAAGAATTTAAATCTCAACGTTTATGAATAGAATAAATTAGATCGAGAATAACACCTCTATTATTCTTAAATAATCCCGAATCGAATACGAATAATGACAGAACCACAGCTTGGTGAAATCCGATTTTTTTCCGATTAATTACTTATATTACTGATGGTGTCTACCCTGAAATATTTCGTGCCCACCGAAATCTGAGTTTCCTTCGAATAGTTACTTCTTTTTACGGACGGTGCCTACCCTAAAATTTTATTTATACACGTCCAATTTAAAAAAATTGTTAATATATGTATACCCACCCTGAAAAATATTTCTAAATTGACAAGTCATGGGTCATGCTTGAAATGGGTTTACAGCCAAAAAAAAAGTGAAGAAGGTAACCCTTCAACAGTTCAACTGCTAAAATAAACAGTGGTTATGAGGTCCAAAGCGAAGTAGGCGTGGTGTGTGCAACCAATTCTTGAAGATAACTGAGATCAGAAGTCGGACAAATTCAGCATTCATTTGATAAAAGTTAGAAGTTTAAGGGCCAATTTGACCAAAGTTCCCAAAATTTAAGGACCAATTTGTGTATTAAACCTTTATTACAATTGAATAACTCAAGTATTTTTCGTCCGATTTAAGTATTGAAACAAACATCTTCTAGACTCAGTTTAATGATTCAAGATTTCTTCTTCCACATTAGTCCTTGAACAGAACAACTTTTTCATTTTCATATCCTTTGATGACATGCTACATTATCAGAATACTACATCATGAAAATGACCAAAAATCCAAGTTCAAGAACTAATGTGAAAACTCTAGAGGACTAATATAAGAAAGGTTGAAAAGTTCAGGGACCAAAAGTTATTTAAACATTTGACAAGCATTATAGACATTGTCTCATGCTTCCAATATAAATAAGTTTGTCAAAGAAGCATTGCAAGCGATATCTAGCAAATAAACTCACTACAGAACGTTCATGGCAAAATTAGAGGAACCCCATGATTCGGTTCGGTATCGATTCAAGATGAAATCTCCTTTTTCAGCTGTGCGAGCTCTTGCCTAACGACTCCGGCCCTCTGCAAAATACAGTACAGCCAGCTAGCTCAGATCAAGGTTTCAAGGACGCATTTTGGATTTTGATATGAACGATCACTCGTAAATCCGGTAAACATATTAGTAAGATGAACTGACCTTGATCTTAGCTAGCATAAGCTTGAACCGATCGAAGTCATTGAGTGATGCCCTTCTCTTCTGGACAATCAGTTTTCTGCCCCATGAGCTATTCTCCCACTTGTTCTTAACATCTGTCGGCAGTCAAAATAAAAACAAATTGACAAGAAATTTTACTTTTGAGAAACAACATGATGAAGGTAAAAAAAAAAACATTGTCCTTACCAGCCTTCTCCATAGCTTCGATCAATGTCTTCTTCTTCGGAACACGAGGGATGTCGATCGTGATATCGGTCAATGTAAGCCTCTTGAAGTTCATTTGGCCTCTGACCATATTTGGGGCATCAACAAGTGCCTGCCACACCAAGATAATAGCAACACACGTTATCTCCTCTGCACACGAATATCAACCTATTAAACTTAAACTAGAGAACTCCGTGTTCAATCCGTCATCCTAAGTTAACAATGTCGATCTATACCGCCATTATCATGACATACACAACAGGAAACAAAAGCCTCCAAATCCATACACGGTCAGATTAATGTTTTTCACGACCATTTCGTCACCCGACTTCAAAACGTGCCAAAAACAATATCAGATGCCCACTCAAGTCCAAGCAACATCGGTTTAAAACAATAACACTATCGAACAGAATCATCGGAATATCGTTTAACTTACACTGTACAGATTCATTTCAGTTGACTACAAATAACATGTTTCAGGCAGGATTAAACTCAATCTCAGTCCAACACTTAAATCAAAACCACAAAATTCCATCAAAATTCACCCATTCATCCTCTTACCGAATCAAATCAAATTAAATATAACCCAAGAAACGTAAAAACCCTAAAACACCACGCCGAGTTGCACTTTCATAAACAATAATTTAGCAAATACTCGTATTATAAGAAGAATAAGTGCCCCTATTGGAAAAAAAAATCAGAGGGACCTAATTAGAAATTGAAAAAAGTTAAGAGGGCTTGGACTCAGCCACGTTCTTGCTCTGCGGGTAAAGTCGGAGGTTAGTTATGGAATGGATTAAAGGCTCCACTTTTCCCTATATAAAAAGGGACTCAAAACAGAAGAAAGGATCAATCACTGGGAACGAAGAAAAGGAGAGAAAAATGGAAGGATCGGACAGGAAACACAATCACAGGCTCTTCTCATCGGAGCTAAACACACTGGCAGTCGTGGCTGAAACTCTGTTCCCGCCTCTGTCTCCGACTTGTTGTCACGAAGAAAACCAGACACCATCCACCAAAGTTGTTCGGTCTTTCATGGAAGCTTCGGCCTCCGAATCACCGATTCCAGACGAGGTAAAACTGATTTATGTTTATTTTATCACATGAACGTGTCATCGAGTCGGTTCGAATCGTGTTCAAGTCCGAGTTTCAATCAAAGAAACCGAATTAAACTTATTCATTTCCGGTTTATTAGGCAGCCGAGGCGATATGGAAAAGAGCATCCCTGGAATGTTTGACGCTGGTAAGGATCGTGTTGTTGTTGTTGTTGTCGAGCCGAATCGGGACGTTGTTGCTCTGTGGGAGGCATTGTTTGGGCGGGAAATAACCTTATATTAATCGATTTTCGAGTATTCCGGTGGCGAAAAGAGAGCAAGTTATACAAGCTTGGCTTAAGCATCGGATATTTACTCCGATCCGGAGCGCTTTCGTCTTCCTCAAACTGATCATCCTTTATCATGTCTTCACTAGGGTAAATTATTAATGCATATTCGAATATGAATACAGGTTATGATGCATATTCGAATACGATCACGAGTTATAATTCGACATTTCAGGTCGAAAAGAACGGTGAAAATCCATTGTGGGAAGCAATAGGGTACAACATAGACAAGGTTGAGGATGTTCCAAATGAGAGACCTCTTCAAAAGGGAATAGTTGAGACATTGCTTGCAAAAGACATCACCGATCTTTGCAATTCTTTAACAAAGAAAGGCCTTCAAGTCGTTGAAGATCAACGGAAAAACATAGTCAAGATCAAATGTGACGCGGTAGTAGTCGGTTCCGGATGTGGAGGCAGTGTCATGGCGGCCACATTGGCAAGTTCGGGGATGAAGGTGGTCGTGTTAGAGAAATGAGAGTACTATGGTCCGGCGGATTATTCCCCCTTCGAAGGTCCTTCGCTGGAGAACTTATACGAATTAGGCGCAAACTATCCTAGTGTCGATGGGCAGATAATGATTCTCGCAGGCTCTACCGTTGGCAGTGGCTCGGTCGTTAATTGGTCGGCTTGTCTTCGAACGCCGGAACCGTTGCTTCGAGAATGGGCCGAGGAGTGTAAACTCTCGGTTTTCAAGAGCATGGAGTATCGGTCAGCTATGGATATCATTTTTAAGAGACTCGGTGTTACGGAGGATTGTAAATTGGAAAGTTTGCAGAATCAAGTTCTTCGTAAAGGGTGTCAAAATCTCGGACTCGAAGTCGAAAAAGTGCCTCGAAATTCTTCGGAAGGCCATTACTGTGGATCTTGCTGGTACGGTTGCCTAAGAGGAGACAAGAAAGGGACCCATAAAACATGGTTGGTCGATGCCGTTAACAACGGCGCAGCCATTTTAACAGCCTGCAAAGCGGAGAAATTGATGTTGAAACCGAACAAGACAAGTACGAGGAAACTCAAGTGTTTGGGTGTTATTGCACAATCTTCAAACCAAAACATCAAGAAGAAACTGCAAATAGAAGCCAATGTGACAATCTCAGCCTGCGGGCACTTAACACATCTCTTCTGATGTATTCGGGCGGGCTTAAGAATCCGAACATCGGTAGGAACCTTCATCTCCACCCGGTTACATTGGCCTAGGGTTACTTCCCAGAATCGATTTCAGACCTCGTAGGTAAATCTGCCGAGGGTGGGGTCATAACATCGGTTCATAAAGTATTGGGATCGGATAACAAATTGCAAGCCATTATCGAAACTCCACTAATGGGACCAGGACAGTTCATTTCTGTATGTCCTTGGGTGTCCGGGCTCGACATCAAACAGAGGATGCTAAGATTTCCAAGAACTGCTACCATGCTAACGATAATAAGGGACCGAGGGATATCGTACAAGTTCGAAAAGTTGGATCGAGAAAACATTCGAGCCGGGTTAAGACAAGCATTGAGGGTTTTAGTAGCGGCCGGGGCGGTCGGGACTTATCGAAGTGATGGACAAAGAATGAGATGTAAAGGGGTGAGCGATGAGGAGTTGGGCGAGTTTTTGGACACGGTCTCGGCAGATGGCGGACCGTTGTCGCGTGTCGAAAACTGGACCGTGCACTGCAGTGCACACCAGATGGGGAGTTGTATGATGGGCGACGGCGCGGTCGATGAAAACGGAGAGAGTTGGGAAGCTCAAGGATTGTTCGTTTGTGATGCGAGTGTTTTACCAAGTGCCGTTGGTTTTAATCCTATGATCACTGTCATGAGCACTGCTTATTGTATCTCAGAGGGAATCATAGTATTAAATTGCGGTGACAATACGAAATAATAATCGTATTACAGCAATTTTTAGAGTCACGTGACGATTTTTGTGATATGAAATGGTTATGTATCGAACGATATATATTGAACGAATATTTTTCAATCGAATACTTATTCTGTAATGACACGATTACATGGTATGAATGCATCACAAAAGTTTGTCTCCAGTTTATAGCCTTGAAATCGTTGCCTTGGAAGTTTATGCTTGAGCAGCACGTTATCAGCTATACAAGATTCCGATGTCGAACATTTCTTAAAACCTCACATTCAGTTGCTAAACTCTTGATCGCACCAAGGTTTAGAAGGTTCGCTACTTCGATCGCGACAGAGTTTTCTTGTTGGTCAAGAAACCTTTTATAAACAGACTCGAACCCACCGTCACTGAGGACGTTCAAGGTTGAGAAACCGTTAGTGGCTTCAACAAGTTCCTTGTGCGAAACTTGAAAGAGACCAACATTTTTCTTTATTAATCTAGGATAAGTACAAAACAATATATATTCAAAGATAACTCAACCATTTGACATTAAACGCTCACACTCCTAGCATTCTCATTGCTTATGATTTGGTTTGCAACATTTGTATTAAGTTTTCAACGACGTTAGCCAAGATCAAACAATAGGAGTCAAATTATTAAATTTTAAAAATAAGAAGTCTTATTAAATATTTGAACTCAAAATTTGGACCATAGTTGATCTAATATACAAACTTATAAGGACTTAAAAAATAGACTAAGAAACTTGAGGGCATAAACTCTCTCTGGTTCTGTTTTGATATAGTCAACTATAATTACGAATGGTCATGGGTCGCATTTTTAACCCACTCAAATTTGACCATAGTATAATATCCTTAGTCTGTCGTTTGACTCAACTCGAATTTATAGAAATTTCATTTGATTCAAAATTGGATCCAATTTTTACACATTTGACCCGATACAATATCGATGAAATATGAATTTAATTGAAAAAATATATAGATATATGAATGATATAACAATTATCTCTAATATATATAAAGATCCACTATATTTTTATTCTCGAGTTGGATTATATCTTTTATACCATAAATTGGAGCTCAACTTCATTTTTAAAAAAAATCAACCCGACTCGAACTCATTTTTTTCTAGTCTAGTCAAATTCGGATAAATATCCATCCCTAGCTATGATGCAATCTATTCATATTGTATGATGGTATTCATTATATCCAAGGGCAAATCTTATATCAACTACACATAAATTCTAAGTTCATGCAAAATCTTTAGAAACATAGAACAAACATAAAGCCAAAGTTGAGGGATGAAAGTGAAATATACCCACAAATTAACATAAAAAACCCTCACTTGAGGCCTGAGGGATAAACAAACGCACGAGAGCACAGCTGATGTGGATCTTTCAGCCAATCACGTATCCCCACGTCATCATCAAAAGCTCACATCTTGATCCACCTTGCCAGCTGAGTAGGGTTAACAAGACCGGTGATGTGGGTCCCATCTTCCTTCAAAATTCTCGCCACGTCAGCATAACTTTGGCTCTCCTTATTAAGATCCTTTGGTCCAGTTTCCTGCTGGACGGGTTTTCTCGGTCCAGGCATTGAAGCCTCCGATCCAGCCGGGACGAATTGCTGACCCAACAGGGTTCCCTTCGTCAAGAACTCATGCGCCATGTAGCCAGCTAAAAGCTGGTTCGAACAATTGGGAGAGGAGGTGTACTTTGGACCGGAATAAACCGATGATTGAACCGGAATAGACGGTTTAAATGAGTAAAAAGGTTCTCTCTCTTTACGCTTTCTCGAGATTCCAGGTGTCGAGACTCTACGCTGGTGATGACTCATTTTCATGCCACGTAAGGAAGAGGGCTAATCTCGTTAAATCATCGTTAAGTAAGTGGCAAAAAGGTCAAATAAAAAAAATGATTTTTTTATATTTTACTT